ACGTCACAAAATGCGTTGGGTGAGCTTCATGATCAACCGTGTGTATAAAGAAAGTGATGCAAAGGAGCTGCTTAAGAAGATTGAGGGTGTTTTGAAAATGATGTTTGAAGAGTACAATTCCACATCACTATCTGGTGCAGCAGCGGATTCCTCATCTACTCAGACTCGGTCTAATATCATTGATGATGTTGTCAACATTGATGACTTTGAGAGAATGTTGCAAAGAGAAATGGAAGAATTTGAAGCCGTTGAAGTTCATGGTGTGTTGAAGTCTGAATTGGATAAATATTTGGATGATGAATGTGAAAAGATGACTCAAGTGAGCTTTGATATTCTGTACTGGTGGAAGACAACAGGATCGAAGTATCCAACTCTTTCTCGCATGGCTAGAGATGTGTTGGCCATCCCAGCATCCACGGTTGCATCGGAATCTGCATTTAGCACGGGCGGTCGTGTTGTTGATCACTTTCGTAGTTCTTTAACTCCCAAATTGATTGAAGCACTTATATGCACACAAGATTGGATTCGGAAAGGTAATCCACCCATTTTTGAAGAAAAGGAATTTGAAGATCTTGAGAAATTAGAAGAAGGTATGTATTATTTCTATCTTTCCATTAATAGATATGTTTAATAAATATTTATAGCAAACATAATCCCTTTTATGGTTTAATTTTTATCAGTATGGGATGCTAATCTCTTGGACTTGGATGACTAGTATTGAAGATTTTCATTAAGGTAAATGATCAATTTATATTTTAGTTTTGGCATTGAAACATTATATTGAATTTTCTGAATATAGGAACATTTGTCTTTATTTGTTCTTCATGCTTGCATTAGAATTTGTTATTTTATCTTGTTCCATTTATTTTTATTTTGTTCCATTCAGAATTCTGTCATTTTTGTTTAATTTGATCTTATCTTCAGAATTCAGAATTCCAGACTGTCTGTTTTCATGAATAGTACGGATATGTTTCCATTCTCTTGTCTGGTGGTCTGGGTAAGCATTCACCAGCACCTTTCAAAAATCGATAATTTTAAGCATTCCATTCGAGTTCATCAAGGGATTGTGCTTTTGGTAATAAAATTAAATTCATCAAGGGAATTATTGTCATTATTATTGTTTCTTTATTGTTTTGCTTACATTAAACAGGTCTCATTTTGCCTTTGGCAGTTCATGTTTCGCCCGACTAGTTGAGCTCACTATGGTCCGGTACCTACTGTTTGCTTGGTTTCAACTTTCAAGGTGTGATCAATCCTTTAGTATCTTGTTTGATGATGAAGTATGAACTTGTAGGGATGACTAATGATTTGTTGGAGATTATATTTAACTTTTGTGGGATGATTTATGATTTGCACTATACCTATTGGTTGTTGCTGTTTGTGGATGATTATTTGCAAACAGAGATGGTTTATGGTTTGTGATTGTGATTGTGATTATGATTTATGATTTGCAAACATGAATGATTGGCTGATTATGTTTAATTGTTTATGAAGTTTTCGGTTCGGTTCGGTTCGGTTTATTATTTGCAAACAAGTAAGCAGATTTGTGTTAGGTTTGCTCGGTTCGGTTCGATTCGGTTAATTCGCGAATAGTAGGATTTTTTCGGTTAATCGAAAATTCGGTTAACCGAGATTTTCGGTTCAGTTTCGGTTAGCAAGTTCGAATATTTGCTCGGTTCGGTTCGGTTAGCAAATACCTCGAAAAACTCGAGTATCCGAACCGTGCCCAGCCCTATATATATTGCAGGACACGTGTCAATACACTATTTATGAATAAATGTGGATGACTCCATAAGTCGTGTCGTTCGATGGCTCCATAGCAAAACTGTTGAAAAATAAATTAGTAATGCGCTTTCAAAAGTTGATGATATAGATGATTTTTTATAATGTCAAGAGTCATATCGGAGACGCTCTTATAGTCCTNAATATTATTTTTTTTTAACATTCAGTAAGTTTGAAATTTAGAAGACATACTAGTGTGCCTTTTCATTTAAACCTTTTTTTTTAAACTTTATTGAACATATAATTATTTCTAATTAAACATCTCGTTGTGGCAATAAAAAAAATACAAATGTGAAAGTGATATATTACTGAAAGGTAGATTTATTATTTTTTTTTTCCAGTAATATACTCATCGTGACAATAATTATGAAAATGAAAATCATACACTATTGAACATTTCATTATACACAACATTCTTGGTTTGAATTTTTAGAAAGTTGTCTTCTACACAAAATAAAATTTCAAACATCATTTCACGTGTTTAATCTCAACAACCAAGTCAACTACATCAAAAACATATATATACATAAATAACTAGTTTCAAAATATAGAAATCATAAACATACGTGATAAAACGTAAATTTCAAAAATAATTAATTGAAATAATTTGGACATACCAAACAATATTGATTCATCAATATTATCATCATCAATTAATGTGACAAAACTCTTAAACTCAAATCGATATACCATAAAATCATCCTTGTACTTGTACTGCTAAGTTTTATTGTGAATGATGATTCTCCAAGATCGACAGGTTGATGTTCCCAAAATCATAGGATTTTTGGTTTTATATTTTTTTAGATATTAAAGGATGAAAGTCAAATAAAATTATTTCAGATTCTTATAATTATTTTCCGTAAAAAATGACATGTTTCAAAAATTAAGTATGCTGTTTATTGAATTTCTAATTTTGGATCAAAGAGATAAGTATATTATCTTCAAACTTTTAATTATGAAAAAAAAATTGCGTATATCTTATTTTAATCTGACCATTTGGTATAACCGAATTCGATCATCATAATTGTTTTAAAAAAAAAAGAGGGCTGACTAATAAGATTTGTCTATTTTTTTATAGGAAACAAAATATTCTATCATTATCTTCTTTTTTAAAAATGAATTCGTTGAAATTAAAGACACATATATAAGGTAAAAGTTTTAAAGTTTTATTTTGTCGTAGAATTGACAAATTATGGAAAGTAGCTTATTTGATTACAAAATTTAATATTATTCAAAATACATAAAGAAAATATTACAAAAATTGATGCAAAGATTACCGATCAAATCTTTTGAGAACATCACACTAATATTTTTTTTATGAAGTAACCATAAATATAATAAAAAAACACTATTTTAAGAGATTCGTACAACACGTATGATATGATCAATCAAAATATTTTCTATTTTTATGCATTTAAGATCGATTAAGAAAAAAGAGAAATATTCGTGCAAGAAGAAGAAGAAGACCGCGTGCGAACCTATCAAACAATATGCTATTTTTAGGGCATTTAAGATCGATTGGGTAAGTAATGCGATTTTAGGAAAATATATCAATTTTTAATTAATTGTGTAGCAATGCAATTTTAAGAATTATAACAATATGTTAGGGAAGTTAAAAGAAATATTTTTAAGATATAATATGTTTTTAAGATCACATTTATTGAGGGCATTTTTCATCTTTTTGTGGCTTAAATAATAGAAATAATCCATATAATAAAAGATTGTTTTCAGACTTTCAAAATATTTTCTTGATAGGTAAATATGGACAAACAAATATTGACTAATAGAGAAGATAAAATCAAAACAAAACAATACCCACAAAAAAAGGAAACAAAATTTAGAAAAAATAGAAATAGAATTGTGAATTATGGATATCAAAATAAGATAGAATGCATATCTAATAAATATAAAAAAAAAAAAAAAGCNAAAAAAAAAAAAAAAGCATATTGTCACACTCCATCTCCACAAAAGCATATGTTTTCTGCCAAGTACTACACTAATTAGAACCATCTTCAGACTCCACTATGCTCTTCCCATTTTCACATGTCAGTTCTGCTTGTAACCTGAGATGCACAGAAAACATCTCATGTGTCGAAACTCACATAATAATGATAACAAACTGAAGGACTTGGCAATTACAAGTTTACAACTAGGTGTTCAAAGTTCAAACTTCGATTCAAACAGAAATAACTAGCAGATATAATGAATTCGGTTCAGCTTTAAGATATTATTTTGGTTTTTGGATTACATTTCGACCTTACTCAATTATTCCGGTCTGTTATGGTTTGTTTCAGAAATAACCAAACCGACCTATATTATATTTGAACATTTATATTGTATTAAAAAAATACTGTAATTATAGAAGCAATATTCACCCCCCAAATTCGGATTTCAAATCTTCGCCCTCACCCCTTGGTGCTTCATAGTCGCCATCTTCTCACTAAGGTTTACGTTTTACTTCAGTCTAAGCTCAAGTATTTTTTTTTGCAATATAATTTTTAGGGATCTCAAATCTTGCTAAGATGAAAAATATCTTTTACCTCCTTGTTTTTATCTCAAGATAGAGCCCAAACGGACTCAAGAAGAACAACGAACTTCCTAATTGAAATTTTTAAACTCAAATCATCTGTTCTCATAAATGAAAAATTGTTAGTATGTGACTTCTGAATGGGACATGGATTGCTTACACGTTTGTGAAGTGAAAAAATATTAAGGAGATATGTTTATGTAAATTCACACACCAAATGTGTATAAACAAACTAATTCTATGTAAATTTCATCGACACCAAAAAATAATATTAATAAAATTATATTAATGTTATTTAAGTAATCAGAGAATATAGTAAATTTATTTGTTGTATATAGAAGGTTGGCTCTTGCTCCACTATGGAGCCAATTATAGATGCTCTTAGCCTTTGATTTCAGGAACAGTTTATATTTGTGTAAATCAAAGANTTTACTTGCTTATTTTTCCTTATAACAACACGCATCAACATACACAGTTACACAACACAACGTTTAAAGATGACGAATTATTGCATACCTCATTTTTAAAACACATGAGGTTTTTCCATTTTTTTCGCAACAACTCGCTCTCAATTACAACAAAAACCCAAGAAAATCAACAAAATTCAAAAGAGCAGATCTTTATGCACAAGTCGCATATAATCCACCCACACACACATAGATCCTTCTCTGATCTATCTACAGACTGTTCTTCACCGGATGCGGAGCAGTCGCCGGAGATCGTCGGTGGCTCCGGCGTCAATCCCAGCGGCGACCTCAGCTCGGCAGGCTGCAAGCTTCGGCCTCAGGGTAAAGGTCGGCAGGGGCAGGCTGCTGGGAGGCGGTGAGGTCCCAAACGCAGCCGACCCAGAGAACGCGCCGGCCCCCGGATCACTTCCCGCTGAACAAAAACCGTTAGCACCTACACAATAATCAGCACCATAATCAACGATCTTACCTGATGACGAGGCCAAACGGGACCCGTTAGCAGCGTTCCGGTAGGGTTTTACGGCTTCCTTTCTGGGGAATTTCGACTTATTGGGGGTGAGGGAGGGACCTCTGGTCCGGCCGCCGCCGTTATTGGGCTTTCTGCTGCCGGAGGCGGAGGGTAGGGGGAGCAGCGGCGGCTGGTGGGCTTGGTAGGGAGGGTACGAGTGGGATAGAAACGGCGGCTGGGCACGGAAAAGGCCGCCGATTGTGTGGGAATCCGGCGGCGGAAAACTATCAGAGGGCATAGAGATGAAAGGGCGGCGGATGTTGCTAGGGTTTCTAATTTGGGATTTGTGCGGGGAAATCGATTGATCCAACGGCCCACGAAGCAGGATAGCCTCCATGATTTTTATCTTTCTTTTCTTTTAATAAAAATAAAATAAAATAAAATAAAAATCCTTTATATTAGCTTTTCAAATTTCAGTCAAAAAAAGGGAAATTTGAAGATGATAATGGAGATTTAAGGCAGTGATCACAAAATAAACACGGATCAGCCTCTGTAATATACTTAAAAATAAAAATGGAAATTTTTTGGGCAAAATATTAATACTAATGTACAATTAAATCGAGATAAAATGAAGAAAATATAAACAATTATACGTAATAAGGGACTTCTCCTTTTGATTCAGTATACGACTATCGATTGGAAGCAACTATCTCTTCTGCCCAGCATAATTGTGCTCTTTATAAAGAAGAAGAAGCATCCTCTTGGGCTCTAACGGCTACTTTATTTTATTCATTTTATCTTCTGTTTTTATTGAAAGATAGGCCGGTGCACCTTTTGCCACGTTTTCTTTTCTTTTNAATGTCACTCTAAGAACAACTTTAACAACATAAGTTATTTATTTATTTTATTTTTTTAAAACGCTAGATTTCACTAACAAAAATATAACCAACTAACTCGCAAAAAAGGTATATTTACTGTAGCCTAAATACCACAATACATCACAATTTACAAAGAATTAAAAAACATCTCCCATGGGAGAATACACAAACCCCATTAATGGAGAATACACAAACTCCACAAATGTAGAATATTGAAGCAACAAAACACCAACACAACCAATCACGAATTCCACAAATGGAGAAAACAAAACACCAAACAAACACCAACAAACACACAAACACCCACACCAACAACCACACAAACACACTAAAACGTAACAAAATAAACCCTCCCTAAAGCCGACACAAAATCCATCCACAAAACTAGGACCATGACCCAAGAGCGAAACTCGAAACTCCAACCGCAAAAAAAATGGTGGCGGCTAACAAGGAACCACCAAGCCTCAGACCTGGCCTCCCATCCGCAGAGGTCACTCCAGGCCACCCGAAGCCCGACACCACAACTACACTCCAACACAAACCCTGCAGCTGCGCCATTCGCCAACGAAAGATAGGCACCCTTGCTGGAAGAAGTCTGCTAGCCCAACCCCAGGGGACTGGCAGGACGACCAGGGAACTGTAGGCACCAGAACAAATCCCCACCGCATAAGAGAGAAGCTCTGGCATCGCGCCTTAGCAGTCACGTCGCCAGCCCGACCTCCACCAGTCATCCGCAAAATGAAGCAGCATCAAAGTGGAGGGAGACCGGGACACACCAGGGAAGACGACGACCGCCTCATATCCCGTCTCTTCAGCAGTGGGGCAGAACGCGCAGCAGTGGAGAGGCATGCGCTAACACCGAAGAGGAGCTTTGAACTCGAGTTGGGGCTCTACATTTAGGAGAGAAAGAGAGAAATTTGATTTTTGGGCTTTGAATAACAACATAAGGTTTATAAACCTTTTTTTTTTTTTACATTCTCAATACTTCACATCAATTTTTTTTTCCAAAACGACAGATNACACAGTCTCCCTCGCCATGAACATTGAGAATGACGACAGACAAACCATCTCCAACAACAGCTCTCGAGCCCAGAAAACAACCGCCCGCCACTGCTTAAGGCCTAGCAAGACGGGTACCCGCACCCCTGAACTAGTCGAAGAGTTGGCCCGCACTCCAATCACGTGAAGAAAACTACACGGCTCGGCTTCACCGAATCAGCCCGACTGAGATAGCAAACCATTCATCCCAAACTGAAACGACTGAAACACAAACGAACAGCCGAGCACAAACAGTAACCACGGCCCCCTCCTCGTGAACAACCGATTCCAACTCGCCCAGAAAGAACCGAGAGGTCCTTCTGATCACAGACAAATAAAAAACCGAGACAAAAGCAGCAAAAGAAAGGGCAAACCTCCAAACGCCGCTTCGCCGGCGGAAAGGCGCGGTCTTGATCGGCGGCGAGAAAGGCAGTCCGGAAGAATAGGTGGCGTCCCAACCAGATCCAAGTGCAGCTAACCTAGCCTCGTCCATGAGCCCACACCGCACCCCAATCAACGCCGACGGCCCCTGAACTCCAGCGCGCGACCTGAACAGAGAATATATCTCCGATGGCCGACGAAATTCGACGCTCAGACAGAGCTCCGCTGCAGCAATTGAGACGAGGATTGTGCCTCCCATGGACGAGCGATGGAGGCCGTCCACCGTCGGACGCGAATTTCCGGCGAGGGAGCTTCAATTGGCGAGCTTACCGGCTAGGGTTTCGGGTTGATTTTTGGGAGCGAGAGAGAGAGAGAGAGTTTCGGGTTAAAACCCCATTTTTACTCTTAATATCACAAACCTACAATAATCATAAACCTCACGAACTTTTTTTTAATGGTTCCCGCACGTTTTCACTTACTTTATTTATACAACAATTTAATAAAAAAACAACAAAAGCAACACACAAAAAATAATAAAAATTTAGATGGCATGTGGAGGCCTCACCTCGCACTATTCCTTATAAGCTTTATTGAAAGTTTGAAAATGTAAACCTTGTTTACAAATGCAAACTCAAACATATGTACTTTAGTGGTAAAAACTATAAAGTGGTGTTTATAAACCTCATCAAAAACCTCCACTAAAGATGTTCTTCTACCAAAAGAAACAAAAATGAAACATAAGGTGTGATTGGATATTTTAGTTTTGATTGTGGTTTTATTTTTTATTCATAATAAATTTTGAAAAAAATTAGTTGTATTAAATTTGAGTGAGATTGTTAATTTGTATTAAATTAAATTTAAAATAAAATAGTTAAAGTTCATTTGATATAAAAGTGATATAACATTCAGAATCTCGGCTCGTGGAGTGGTTCACCGGCCGACCTGAAAGAGATGACATCGTGGAGCGGCTAGAGTTAAACTAGTGGCAGTCTGGGAACGTCGGTGGAGATGCCGAGATTGCGGATGAGCTCAGCATACAGGATGATATCGGGAGGTCGCTATATAGCATTGAGGGGAGCTCAGTTGGTATCCCTCTCGACGGCGTAGGTGGGAGGCCTTCTCAGGAATAGCTCGGCAGAGGCGTGAAAAGGCTTGAGCCTTGTCCAGTGGCACCTGTAGGAGTAACGATGGCCAAGCTGCTATCGTTAGAAGAGCCGAGGTGGTATAACGCTTCCGTGTGGACCTGGGGTTTCCGAGACTTACTCAGCCTAGGAGATTGAGTCTGGGTAGAACTCTGTGATGAGTGGGAGAGATCTTACGAAGAGGTGGACAAGGGGAAGACTCTTTCATACCTAAAAGTCCTGCTATACAGGGACTCTTTGGTTTATAAAAGGAACAAGTTTTTCTAACTTTACACAAGAGAACACACACACATAATAATTTCGATACCCTACCATTTCCTCGAAAACCCTACTGACTTGAGCGTCAGAGTGTTCACACTGGGACCACCACCGGCGTGTTTTGTAGGTACCGGCGATCGAGAAGACATAATACGGTTCGATGGGAGCGTTCAAGCGGTTCGCATATTCGTGGCACAACAAAAAGTATGAGAGAAGTGATTGAAAGTTGCAACATAAAATTATGTGAGCAATTGAATGGTGAATTAAAGTTGATGTGATGTGTAACGATGATTGATTGATATTATTTAATTATATTAATAATATTGATGATAGTAGAGTTCAGGTAAATTTAAACTAAAATTTGAATTTAAAAAAAAATGATTGGAGAAGAGTGATTGAAAATTGTTTGAATTCTCTTGTGCAAGTATCACCTAAGAGTTGATTTGGGTTCTGAATTCAAATGGTTATTTTACAGTTAAGTCTGCTTACACAAACTCTCTAAGACTGTTTCAAAATCCCTTTGATGCTCCTGAGAGTAGCTCCAGTAAAAAGCACTTGAAAAGAATGTGGAAGGTGACCTAGGCTCTAAAGATTAAACACAAACTGAAACATTTTTTATGGACAATTCTGCACAATACCATTCCTTCATCTAAAAATTTATGGCTGAGGAAATCTCAATCTCATCAGTTCTCTGGGCTATGTGGTGAAAAACATATTTTCTTTTCTTGTGAGATGGCTTCTTTGGTTTGGAAGTTGGCGCTAGTTTCATGGGATAGCTGCAACTTTATTGAATTTGGCTTCAAAGGGTGGTGGAGCAGGATTTGTGAAGGCAAAACCTCCAAAATTTTTGCTCAAAGACAACAATTAACAGTGTATTTATTGTGGTGGTTTTACAAGGACGTAATTTATGGATCTTTGAAAGGAAGTGGCTAACAACAAAGGAGTTACTAGATGGAGTTGTTAGAGAATGGATAGAGCTTTCTGTCTACTCTTAGTTTTCTTTTATGTTCTTTTTCTTTATTTTTTGCTTGTTATTTTACAGAAACATTTGCTTAGGGACTTGTTTTAAGCTTCCAGTAGGCAGGTTGTTTGTGGGTTATGGCTAGCACTGGCTCTAGTTGTTTGATTCTACTCTGGTTTTGTTGGCGTTGTAAGGTTTTGAATTGTGGTTTTGTGGGGCCTTTGGGTTTTTCTATGTTCTTTTTCTTTCACCTTGGTAGCTGTTTATAAATCCAAGAATTTTTATTACTTCTGGTTAGAAGTTTTTGATTTTGGTCTTTNAGACTAACCACAAAATAAAAAAACAAAAAAGGAACATAAAAACTAGTAACACGGTGGCTAAGAAATTATTGATGAATTTACAATATTAACCTAAATGTAGACCGTAGCCGACCATGTGATTGGGTCCGTTGGATTGTGCTCTTTAGACGATTGTCGTTGGCATGATAATGATCATCGAATGTGTTTGTGAGAGATTTACCACGTCTGGGTTAGTCGTTAAAGTAAAAGAAAAAGGCAAAAATAAAGAAAAAAGTTGATAAACTAACCTATTAAAAAATCATGGGCTATTTTCATAGGAGTGATATTGATGAAAATCGTCCATAATTATATATTTAAAATTTGTGATTATATAACAGTGAAATTAGCAATAAGGTGGTCGATTGTTTTCTTAGAACAATTAGAGAAAGCATTGAGTTTAT